GGAGGGAGGCAGGACCTGAGCAGAGGGGGGCAGAGGGTCAGGGGGGATGTTGGAGAGCCCTGGGGTGGGAAAGGGGTATTGGCAGGGGGCGTGTGGGTGGGGGCAGAGCTGGCTCACGGTGCTCCCTGCTCTCTTCACAGCGCCTTTATGGGGAGCACCTACTGCTGTGCGTGCGGACGTTGGTTTCTGTGTGCCGGGAAGACTGCAGAGGGTGCAGCTTACAGCTCATGGAGGTGCTGGTGACCGTCATGGCCCTCTCGGGGGCCACGGGCCTCAGCGACAAGGTGAGGCTGCGGGGAACCCCTGCTTTGCTGTGTGGGTGATGGAGCTCATGCTCAGGAAGGTGCTCATCTCTGAGCAGACGGAACCACTGTCTAGAAATCCTGCTCTGAGTCCAAAGCCTTGGGCTCACCTGACTCAGCTGACTAGCAAGGTGGAGGAGTGTGCGGGACGTTTGGGATGAGTCGCTCATGAGGTGGCCGTAGGCGTGCCCAGGATTCTGGAAAAGCCCCAGCTGCCTGCTTCTCGTTGCGTCGCAGAGGTCAGGACAGCTGCCGACAGGCGGACAGGACAGGAGCCCATCCTCACCTCTGGCCTGTGGTTAAACACATATGTGACCGACAGCCCAGAGGGAAGACGGCGTCGTGATTTCCTGTCTAATCACAGGCCAGCTTTGCAGAATTACTTCTGTTTCTTCCCCTCTGGGTCTGAGCTTTAAAAACTCTGATGTCCAGGTTCCCTCGGGCTCCGGGACCATCAGGAGGCCGAAGTCTTGCCACCTCTCCAGGAGAGTGTGGTTTTCATTCTGGCTCTCTCTCGCCAGCCGCGGGCAGATCTCTGGGGACTGACCCGCGTGATGGAGAGGCGCCCGGGCACGTCATGGGACCCCGTAACCAGGAGGCCCTCTGCCCTCCCTCTCCTTTCTTGGGCCTCCAAACTTTGTTTTTTCTCTGTAAAAACAACCTTTCCATCGCTTCTCAGCCTTTTGGCTAAGATCAAGCGTAGTATCTGTTCTTAACAGTTTAATATCTGATACGTTCTCTATCCAAGGACAATATATTGAATGGATTCTTGGAGCAGAAAGATGGAATAGGAGCTTGCTCGGTCCACTCCACGCATGCACCTGGTATTGCAGTACTTCCAGGAACGGTGCACCCCCACCTAATTAAAAAAAAAAAACTTTCCCAAGGGCACATATCTTAGCAGGCCGCTTGTCAGTACAGGGCCACAAACAGAGCTGCGTGCCTGGGACCTGAGCAAAGGAAACCAGCCAGCCGTCAGGTTGCAGGCTGGGAGGTGGCTGTCGGCCTGTCTCTTGTCCCCTTGCCCTCTGTTCCCCCAGAGGGCAGTTGTGTCCACTGGAAGGCCCGGTCACATGGTGATCTCAGGCCAGCATTGTGTATGTCTGCTCAGTCCAGTGCCCTGCTGTCCCCAGGCGCCCAGCTCTCCCGCCGCAGAGGGGAATGCGGACCCCCCAGAAGAGGGCGGTCTCCCGGGAAGCCTGCTGTCCCCAGGCGCCCCTGGCGTTGTGCAGAATGAGGGCACGGTGGCTGAATCTCTCGTAAACGCACGTCTGTCTGTATTGTTACTTGTTGTCCAGATGGCATTGACGCAGTGTGCACAGTGGCTGTCCGTCGGGCGCCTGCCATCCTCACCGCAGCAGGCCCTCCAGGGGCTGCTCATGTCACGCTTCCTTGCCGGTGGAGTGTTTGCGGTTGGCCTGAGCCGCTCTCACTCTCTGATGATAAGGATGGGACTCCACGGGGCTTTTGAGCCTTAAGAGCGGGGTTTCCCAGCCTGTGGCTCACACTTGCAGGTTCAGGAGACCATGGACGCACTGGCCGCGGTGCAGGGTGTGGACGGCAGCCAGGATCTCTACCGAGAGCACGTGGGCCCCCTCATGGAGTGGGTGGCCGCTTCGCACCATGACTGGACCGTCCACTCCGTGGAGCTCCTGCAGTTCAACGTCGTGGTCACCCACGCAGGTGAGTTCCCGCCACGCCCAGACTGGGTCAGGCCACGCCAGGAGGCTGCCAGCTGAACCAGGAGGCCACAAGCCAGCTGAACCATGGGTGACTCAGTCTCTCCGGCCCATGGGAACCAGCATTTTGAGAACCGAAACCTTAATTTTAGAAACGCAAGAACATTATTTTTGAAGACTGTATGTAACGGGGGTCTTCAAAGTCTGCCAGACAAATGGTTTTGATGTTAAGCCTCGAAGGTGTGATTTCTCAAGGCCTCCTCCTCTGTAGCCTGTGTTCTTCAGGGACACCTCAGCGTTGTTGAACTTAGCGCAGCAAACGAGCATTCTGTGTGGGCCTCCAGGCCCATCCCCGCCAGTCCGCAGGGACGATGGAAGAACATTTCCTTGGGCAAAGCTCATGCTCACACCCATGCCTCCTCCCTGCCTTGTAGAAATTCCTCTCTCGGACCAGTCCTGGAGAAGGTTTCACTGGACATACTTCATTTTAAAAGATGATTCTTGGAAAAAAAACAACAAAACTTACTCTCAGACCCTGATCAGCAGCGTCCCTCCCCAATTTAGAAAGCAGCCAGAGGCTGCAAACCCACATGCTGTTGGGGCTGATCAGGAAAAGCTGGGCCATTGGTCCCAGCAGGGGCAGCAGATGGCCTGGGGGAGGCCCGGCCACTCTGCACTTTACCTTCAATGAACCAAGTGTTTTCTCAGAGTGTAAATATACTGTATTTGCTCCCTTTGTTTGAAAGCATCCTGTGTGTTCTGGAGGGGTTCATTTCCAGGTGCCCTGCAACCCGGGAGGTGTGGGCATGCCCGCACACGCCGGTCGTGGGTATTGCTCTTCAGCTCTCCAGGGCCATGCAGTCCTTGAGGACTTTCTGCCAGAGCTCCAATTTACCCATCTTTTTATACCGTTAGTGTGGACAAATGCCCTGCAGTTTGGATGGGTTTTTTTCTCATTTTTACAGAGAGCGTTTAAAAGATTTGACATGCTAAAAATGATGCATTTTTGGTGCCCACGGAGGAGACCGTGCGTGAGCTGGAAGTGTGTTTACAGGAGGGGCAGGAAGACGTTCACGGAAACTCCTCTGTCCTTTTTGCTGGTGCATTTTCTCTGTGTTTTGTGAGAAAGCAGGGGATTGGTAACTACTCCTGAATGACCCCGCCGTCCTCCTCCAGTGAGAATCATCTGGACGTTGGCCTTCTGTGCGATACTGAAGGAAAATACACCACAGGGTGTGTGAGCCCTCGGCGCTCACCCGTGCTGGAGGTGTCCTGCTCCTAGGCCACAACGTCCTGTCTGGTTTTGTTTCTCTTTCTTCCCCGAAACCCACACCTGGCCTCAGGTTAATGGAAGGCCTTGCTTTTCCATCTTTTTTTTTTTTTTAAGATTTTATTTATTTATTTGACCCAGAGAGAGAGCACAAGCACAAGCAGGGGGAGCGGCAGAGGGAGAGAGCGAAGCAGACTCCCCGCTGAGCAGGGAGCCCAATGCGGGACTCGATCCCAGGACTTGGATCATGACCTGACCTGGAGGCAGACGCTTCACTGACTGAACCACCCAGGCGCCCCTTGCTTTTCCATCTTGCAGCTTTGACGCCGGGTTTGAGTCGGAGCATCTGAGAAGACCCCAGTTGCTTTGCTTGTTCTCAGGCTCGTTGCAGAATGAGCAGCGTGGCTGGGAGTGGCCCTGCTGGTTGTGGAATGCCGGGGCAGGGGGGGCCTGTCTGGGCGGTGCTCCATGACCCATGTCCATGCAATCAGAGTGCGTGTCTACACCCCGGGGACTGTTTATTCCAATCACGACTCAGCGTGATTCCAGATACTGAGGGTCATTCCGCGTGTCTGTGGCCCCCGCTAGCTTGGGGAGACCTGCACCAGTGCCCACCCAGCAGCAAGCTTGAGAAGAGCGATGGTTGCCAAGTGTAGGGGCAAATATTAAACACCTTACGTGTTCTGAATAATTTATTTTGGTTGATGTTTAAAATATTGCTTGACTTGAATTTTTCTGGAAAAAATATAAGGAAATAAGAAGTTTCCATATGGAATGATTAGCATCATTTTGGGAGTTAAATGCTTTCTTTTACAATGACATCCATGATCCAAAAGGAGGGGAAGGTGGTGGGACAGGCCATGGCTCCGCCTGTGCTGACGGCCCCTCCCCCGAGCCCGCGTGCTGTGGTGGGGCCCGCTGACCGCGAGCAGGAACTGTGGGTACCGCGTATGTGTTTTCCAGGCCCAGCGCTGGGAGAAGTGCTGCCCCACCTCGTGCCCATCCTCAGGAGCTGCCTCCAGCCAGCCAGAGACCCACAGATGCGCCTGAGGCTCTTCTCCTCCCTGTCGCGGGTGCTGCTGAGCGCGAAGCAGACCGTCGACTCCCAGGGGTAGGTCTGCCCAGCCTCCGGCCTCTGCGGGGTGCTCTCAGGCCACAGCTGGGTCACCCCTGGGCTCTGGCGCCGGCCGCCCTCCCTGGGTAAACAGACGGCTCTGGCACTGAGCGCCCACCCGGACAGACACGAAGTCAAAGTCGTTTTCATGTGGCCATTAAAATTCCATCAAATGAAGAGGTTTTAGGGAACATTAACTATTAATGGTTTATACATTAGGTGTTCTCCGTTTTAAAAGCCTTTCAAACCTAACAAAGAATGGATTGACTCACCATTGGTGGTTAAAGCGTTAGGAGAACCTTCTGTCCACACAAACACGTGAAGGGCCTCCAACGTGACGGCTCTTCAGTGAGGGAGAGGAGACAGGGACGCTGGCGGGAGGGAAGGGGGGCAACCTGAATCCGCAGCGGGGCCGAGGCCCGTCCAGAGCACAGCTGGGTGCCAGGGGAGGGCAGGGTGATGAGGCATATGGGTTCCTGTCCCCTTGGAAGGAGCATGTCTGTCAGGAGCGGTGTCCTGCTGTGTCACTAGCATGCTGGGACGCGTGCTGTGAGCTCTGCCAGCCCATCGAATTGCAGGGAATTCTGTAGCCTGCTCGTCAGCACGAACTCTGAGCCTGCAGGAGCCATAAAAACAAAGTGCTGCCCTGGGCAGAGCTCTGCCCTGGATGAGCCACAAGGGTGTGAGGGTACGGGTTGCCTGCCGCCCCAGAGCCCGTGCTCCCCTGTGTCCTCGCGAGGGGCCTGAGCAACCCCCAGGCAAGGGGAGCCCTGGGGTGCCTCGCTGACCCTCTACTGCTGGAGTGTGTCCACCGGCCGTCTGCAGGTCCCGCTCAGAGGGCAGGTGCTGAGAGGGCTGCCCTGGGCCCTCGGTCTCACGAATATCTGACAGTGACGAGACGGGGCTTCTCAATGTGAGGAGGTGCTGTTTTGCGGGGTCCCCTCCATGGACAGGCTGTTCCTCCTGCAGAGCGCCCCCAAGCATGGGCCCTGGGTGCCATCCCCACCCCCAGGCACACAGCCTCTGCTCTCCAGGGTGTCTGTGGATGTGCAACAGGCCTCGTTGGCCACCACCTCAGCTCCGTCTGCTCCTCGAGGTTGACTGAGGACTGGGGAAGGGGTGGTAGGAGGTCTGTCTTCAGAGTGCTGCCTGCGAAGGTGGCCAGGGCTGAGGAGTAACGCACCCACGGTCTCCTTGGGCGGTGTCCTCATTCCAGCAGGGACCCACCTGCAAACCCTTGTGCAACTTCCCTTACACGGGAGGCGCCGTTCCAAAAAGTCAGGTGCTGCGTCTTCCTCCGCGATATGTCGCTGCTTCCAGCGCAGGTTCTGATTGACCCAGGCTACACATGGGGCCTGCCTGGTGGCCCACGGCTGAATGGCAGTCGGGCCAGCGCTCGGCGCTCCACTTTTCCAGCCACTTGACCTGGACACCTTGGAGGTCGGCACTGGGGGCTAGGTCTTTCTAAAGAGACCTCTTGTGAATCACTTTGCAAGAAACAGCAGCTCTTTGCATAAAAGTTAAAGATCATGGAAAACCTAATCCATGTGTGTGTGTGAGCATGCACACGCACCTGTGTGTGTAAATGGCTCAGACTACAGTCACTCACTTACCTGCATTGCTGGTTCTGGGATACCCCCTGCTGGAAGCCAGCAGGTGGAGCCTCCCGCAGAAGGGAGGGTCAGCGGGGGACAAGGCCGGGGACAGACCAGAGGGACGGCCGCAGGACATGGGGAGCAGCCAGGGTGCTGCGCAGCTCGGACCTCGCCCTGGAGGCTTTACCTTTTCAGAATCCAAGACCAGCTGGTATTTGGGATGGGAGCCACCTTTGAAATATGCTTTGGAATAATGTTCAGAAATAAGTTGATGGATTCTTTGTTGACCCAAATGTGTTTCGATGTAACGGTGGAGGCGCAGTGGGATTTGTGAGGACGCTCTGGTGTTCCTCTGTGCAGCTTTTAATGGGGTGCTCAGCGTGTGGCCCCACGCCGGCCAGGCCACCTGGGTTGTGGGAGTTTACCATTGAGATGACGCGCCCTGACTGCTGGCATTCAAGCCCCGGGTGCAGACCTGCGGTGCCCTCCCCTTGGCTGGAGGGGTGTGTGCCCACGGGGGACGGTTGGGGGCGGTGTGTGTAGGATGGACACACATGCAGGTGACTTTGCTGGCTCGGTCACCTCACACCTCCGCTTTCAGAGGCAGGAGGAGGGACAGGCAAAGCCCCTGCAGCAGAGGGGTGGGGGCACCCTGGAGGCTCAGAACCTGCCCTGGGCCCAGCAGAGGACAGGAGGAGCCCTAGAAGGCTGTCCGCTCCCCCACAGGCTCTCCCTGCCCCGCAGGGCACCTGCTCCAGGGAAGCCGAGGCCCGCTGGTTCTGGCTCTCTCCTCTTCACCTGTGCTCCATGTTTCTGCCCCAGGCAGTTTCACCACTATCTCAACACTGTGGCAAAAGACATCTTGGTCCCCAACCTGCAGTGGCACGCGGGGAAGACCGCTGCAGCCATCCGCACGGCAGCTGTGTCCTGCCTCTGGGCGCTCCTCAGCAGCGACGTCCTGTCGGAGAAGCAGGTGGGGCTCCCAGGGGCACCTGCGCAGGAGGGGTGCGCACGCACGCAGCTGCCAGACCCCACGTTCCACGGCCCACGGAGGGGAGGGAGCATGGGGGCTGTGGGCCAGTGTGCCCCACAGGCAGCAGCTTGTGTTTGATCATCGGGGGTTTTCCTGGGCTTACATGCTGAGTGTTGCTTTTGCAGAGCAGAGAGTGTAACCGCAGGAACCTCCCTGAGTTGGGCAGATCTCAGGGTTTCTGTGCTGCTGTCAGGGAAGCGGGGAGAGCAGTTTGAAGGCCTTGCTGTCACTGTGCTCAGCCCCACATCTGCACACCCTGGCCAGGGGCTTACCTAATGCACAAGCTCCACTTCCCGCTACGCTGAACCACCCCGATCCGAGTTACAGCGTCCCCCAAATCTCGTTGGACACAGTAGACACCATGCTAGTAAGGAGCAGACTATGTAGGATCTGTGTCTCTCTAAGATTGTGTGAACAATGGATTTATCAACTCACCAAGTTAAGCAAAATTATTCAAGTCATCCAGATTTTAAAATCAAGGTTCAGGTTTTCTTATGTAAAAATTTCAGATGGTATTCCAGACTTCTGTTTGGATGAGAGCCAGGCTCCTTCTGGGACAGGCAGGGTGCACACAGTGCATCCCAAGCAGTGTCCTCACCGGGCCAGGGCCCATCACCAATCCCTCGTGTCCTCTTGTTGCAGATCTGGGAAGTGCAGGAGATGCTGATGCTGGACATTCTAACCACCCTGGAGGAAGACTCTCAGATGACTCGATTAATCTCGTGCCAAATTATTAACAGATTTCTAAAAACCTCCAGTGGTGTGGCCGATCCAGATAAGTTCATCAAGATTTACCCTGGTAGGACGTTTTTCTTTGTTTCTTTTATAGGGAAACTAGGAACTGCTCCTTTGACTCCCAGTCAGGTCGGTGCTGAGTCCCAACGCGGCCGTGACGGATGAACCGTCTGTGGGTAGATAGCATAGCACAGGAAACAGGGTGGCCTGTGCCCGGGAATTGGGTGCCCGGGAATTGGGGACGCAGCCCTGCCGCATGGCGGGGGTCCCGTGGTACAAGGGCAGGCACCCAGCCATGCCTGAAATCCCGCGTCTCCGCCCTTCTGGAGCCCAAGCACCGGGCGAGTGTCAGATATCAGATGCAGGAGCAGAGTAGCAGATGCAGAGAGTCCCTAAAACACCAGGAAAACCCAACAGGAAGAAGGATGGCAGATATCCCCATCGCCGGGAGGGAAGATGTGAATTCTAGAACCCACCTCCACGTTCAAACAGAAATGCAAACGGGAACCAAGATGCGACCGAGAAAGAGCCCAGGAGACCTTCTCGAATGCCGCGCAGAGACTCCAGGGAGGGGCCCTGTGGAGACGCAGGAGTGGGGTTGGCGCTGGCTGGGGCTGCAGTGTCTGGACACACCTGTGGCTCTCGATTCCTACGCCCGACCACGGCCACACAGCTGAGGCTCGGCACCTGTCCCTTCCCTGGGCCGCAGCAGGTGGCCTAATTCATGATTCTAAAAGGTGGTCATAAGAATTCCTGAAAATGAGATTCAAAGTGGGGCCACTGGGTGCACGAGACCAAACATGGGAGAGGGCAGACTCCATGAGAGGAAGACGCGCGTCTGCGGGGAGAGGCTTGGGCTGTGCACACAGGGCTCCGGAACGAGGGACGGATGGACGGACGGCCAACATCAGAAGAGGTGGTGGCCCAGAATGTTCCAGAATTGCAGACCGTGCATCTTGATGAAACCTGAAGTCAAAGTCCCCTTTCCTGCGCATTCTTACAAGTTAGGTTTTGCTTTTGTGTTTATTTCCGTCGCGACAACTGATGACCTCTGCACTCCTGTCTGTGAGCAAATCCAGCCGGCGTTTGGTTTGTGGACTGTCTGGACTTGTTGGGATTTTGCTCACTTTTTAAAACACAGGCCAGTGGAAAGATGGCTCGTTTGGGGGCATTTAGGGTTAAGTCCAGAAGGATTTTCTCAGGGGCTCCGTTATTCTGTGGCAGCAGCTCGTGCTCCTGGAAGCGGTGTGTTTGCAGAAGTATGGCTGCGTGGCCGCAGAGGGCAGATGTGCCCTAAGACCTCCCACGATTTGGATGCGTGCACCCAGCACAGGCCCCACGTGAGCCACCTGTCTTCCCGAGCCAGCCGGTGCCCATGATGGCTGACCCCCAACGATCCCAGAAGTGAACTTCCAGGCCATCTCTTCTACTTAAAACAAGAGGGTTAGGAGTCAGCATCACAGGAAAACGCACCACCCAACGTTGGCCCGTGCCGGCGGGAGTGAAGACAAGGGAGGGATCCCTGCCAGAGACGCAGGTGATGGTATGCTCGCTGGCCATCCCAGGACTGGGTGAGGTGGTGCTGGCCGCGCCCCTTCAGTCTCTACAAGGTTTGCTTCCATGAGGCCCAGAACCCTTAGGAAAGAGCACCTCCCACAAGTTAACGCCCATCAGGAAGCCAAGAGCCACGTACTGAGAGCAGAACCGCGCAAGCCCAGGGCCCTATGTGCCTGCGTCCAGGGGACAGGCCTCCCGCCAAGTGGGGCCTCTGTCCTGCTCCCCACCGATGTCCACCTCCTGTCGCGCTCACTGAGTCTCCAGAGACACCCACCACAGGGCCAGAGGTTTCTTGTAGTTTGGGTGAGAAAAATGTACGTTTGATAAAAACCTCACCCATTAACAGTGAGAGTTTCTACCCACAGGAGAGATGATTACTGTTTTCAGTGGCCAGGTGGTCCAGCCCCAGAGCTCAGCAGAAACAAAACTGATGCAGGTGCTGGCTCTCACCTCGCCAGGCCCCGAACTCTGTCCCTAGAGCCCGCAGTGTTGGGGGGAGGGCCATCTGCACATCAAGGGGCCGGGGCAGCCAGGTGTCTGTGATGCCCGTGGTGACAGACTCTGAGCGTCTCGGAGCTACAGAGGGCCCGGGGCTGCCTCGCAGGTGAGGAGACAAGTACAGAGTAGCTCAGGCCTGCCAACACGCACGGCAGGCACAGGGCCAGGCACTCTGCTGCCCGCTGGCCAGTGTCCACCCTCTGGCCAGTGCAGTCAAGGGGTCCCAGGACACCGGGAGCTGCCCCCAGCCCCTTGCATGTGAGCACCAGTCTCCCGACAGGATGTGGGTTTCCTGGGGCCCAAGGGTGAGTATCCACCGCTGTGGGGTCAGGTCCCTGCTCTGGCCTCTGTCTCACTGTCCTGTCCGGCCCTGTCTCCAGAGCTCCTGAAGCGTCTAGATGACGTTTCCCATGAAGTGAGGCTAGCGGCCACCTCCGCCTTGGTCTCGTGGCTGGCATGTATCCAGAACGACGACGGGAAGTCCTACTACCAAAGCAACATTCAGTTCCTGTACAGAGAGCTCCTCGTGTACCTCGATGACCCGGAGGGCGCTGTCCAGGATGCGGTGTTAGGTAGGCATGGCGTGACGTGTGCTTGGTTCTGAGACCTGTCTTGAGTGCGTGGAACTTGGCTCTTCGAGCACGGGGCAGCAGGTCCACGGCCTTGGGACCCCTTTGGACCGTCAGGGCCGACCCAAGGGCTGGGTGCCCGAGTGTGCTTGTGTGGTACGGCCTGTGATATTTGCCGTGTTAGAAAGTAAAGTTGAGGGGCGCCTGGGTGGCTCAGTCGCTTAAGTGTTTGCCTTCAACTCAGGTCATGTCTCACGGTCCTGGGATAGAGTCCCACATCGGGCCCCCTGCTCAGCGTGGGAGCCTACTTCTCCCTCTGCCCCTCACCCCACTCAATGCTTTCACTCGCTCACGCACTCTCTTTCTGAAACAAATAAATAAGATCTTTAAAAAAAAAGTTAAAGTTGAGAAAAATCTTAGATATTTATTAATTTGTTTAGAGTAACAGTAAGCCCGTTGTATATTAACATAAATGACATGTGGTTTTGAAAGATATATTTTCCAAAACAAAATAACGAGCAAGAAGAATGGCATTGTTTTACTTCTTTGCGAATCTCGATGAAAGACAGCTAGGTGTGCACAGCTTCTGCGTTCTGGAGGCCGTGATGTGTGTCGTTGGGTGAAGAACGTGAAGAAAATCTGGCCTCAAGCAGGTACGCAGCTGGAAGAGAGAGGCGCCATTTCAGGTAGTTGTGGGCATGCTTTTTGCTATTGCCCCACACTGGACAGGCAGTCGTCCCCCGAAGGCTACCTGGGGGGTGGACCCCGGCGATGTTCACGCCTGATGGTCTGTCCTGCACGTCAGCCGTGTCCAGAAGTCACGTTGGTCAGCGTGGAGCTCAGAACAGTCTTGGGAAGAAAAGCTTCAGGAAGCTGTCTAGCTCACGGTGGCAGAAGCAAGTTTCCTATACTCAAAGTTTCTGCTGAAAAGTCCCAAACGCTGTCACTGGACTGATTTCTGAGCAGAGGTTCTGCTGGGTGCCTGAGTGTGCCTATGCTGAGTGTGTCCCGTTCTTCGTTGGTTGGTCGTTCTTTGCGGGAAAAGCGTCATCCTGGGGACCCAGGCACACCCCTGCCATGACCCCGTCGCCGCCCAGGATGCTCAGAAGGCGGGCCCAGCTGCCCTGGGGAGCGTGGCTTCAATGTCATCCCTGCAGCAGCCACGGAAAGCATAATGCAAAGACATAGAAGTAAAACGCCAATCAGTAGATCTTAGAGTGGAAGTGTAAAAAATATGCATATAACCCAAAAGAAGTCAAGGAACGCGGACGGGAAGAACACAGGAACAGGGACAAATAGACCAAATCCAGCCTCAGCTGCAGGCTCATGGAATGTTAATGAGCCAAACGTTCCAGTTAAAAGGCAGGCGTTATCAAGTCAAAAAAATCACAACTCTAAATTAATGAATTAAATTAGAAGTTGGGTGCCAGAGGACTGACCTAATAAAGGAATTTTTACTGCTTTGTTGAAGACATTCTTGAGGGAACTTGCCGGGCGTTGGTGGCGGCGGGAGGCTCGCGGACCCCACGGCCGCCCAGCCCTTGCTTCCTGCCGCGCAGTGAGCAGATAGCCGTGCCTGGTGGTGTCATGGACACAGTTTTGACTCCCAGACCCAGGGGCCCTCAGGACCCCCCAGGGACCCTCGCACACACAGAGCCGCCACCTTGGGCCGTCGCAGGCGGGAGTGGGTGACCGTGCAGCCCGTTCGGACAGCTGGGCATTATTCTCTGAGCACCAGCAGCTGGAGGGCACACGGGTGTCCTGGCTCCGCTCCGCACCCATACCCAGTGCGTGTGTGGGGTCTGGCTTGCTCGGCCAAGTTCTCACAGACCCCACACCTTGCTCTCCTCTCTCCTTCCTCTCCAGCGAGAGAAGTGATGCGTTCTGTCCATCTCCGAATCTCCATAGCCTGCGGCGTGGTTCCCACCAGGGGGCAGTGTGTGCACCGTCCATCGTCCACCTTCCAGACGTGCTAGGACTCAGGTGACGCAGTCATGGCGGCAGGCCGACCGCACTGCTCCTTTCTTGCAGCCTCTGCCCCTGCACCGCTGACCTTGGGGTGCTTACGGCAACTGCAGGCTCGAGCACATCCTGCCCCCTTGCTGTCCCATCTCAGCAGCCAGCCAGCCGTGTTTAGAGTCCTGTATGGACACGCCCCAAACGCCCCAGTCTCTCCTCTCCAGTCTCCCGGATGACTGGCGTTCCTCTTCTGTGCTCCCCTCAACCCCTCACGCCTCCTGGGCCTCCTGCCTGATGACCTCGCTCTGTCCCACTGACAAGAAGCTCCTGCGTGCCCTCTCACCCCGCAAAGCCGCTCCCGTCATGATGCCCATGAGCCTCGCTGCCAAAGGCAGCCTGCTGCTCGGGTCTCTCCTGCACCTGCGTGCACTCCGCAGGACCGCTGGTCACCGCCTCCGTCCTGTGGCCTCCAGGACGCCCTGGCTCCTGGTTTCCTCCCGTCCATCTGGCCGCTGCTTCTCTCTGCACTCACCGTCTTGGTGACCTCTTCTCTCCGACTTCAGATGCCACCCATGTGCTGGCAACTCCCAGATTGAAGTCCAGAGCAGATGTCTGCTCCCAAACTCTAGACACACACGTGCCCAGACCTCAGAGGGCACAAGGGTCTGCCGGGCATGGAGGCCGTAGCATGCAGACCAAGCCGGGATGGCGCCCCCATTCGCCGACCCTGCGCCCCCTGCTCCCCCTGCTCTGTCTCTGTGGCCACCAACAGCCATGCCATCCTCCTGTGTCTGAGGGCAGAAACCTCCTGAGTCTGCTTGCCTGCATCCGCCAGAGTCGCCCTGCTAGATGGCATGGATGACACCAGTCCTTGGCCCACGGTGCCCACCGGCTCCCTTCCCACCCAGAGTTCAGCCGCTGCCAGCCCAGTTACCGCAGTGATCACCAGTAACAACACTGTGATTTCCTTCTTCATTCTGATTCTTATCTGCTGCCCCCAGACTAAAATGTGAAAGGATCCACAGGATGGATTTTTTTGCCTGCTGTATCCACAGTGCCTGGCATGTAGTAGGCTTGCAGTGGGCGTTTGTTGACTGAATCAGCATCAGTAAATGTGATAAGAAAATTGATCGTCTTTCTAAGCCAGTTTATCTGCTAAAACAAAAACTGTTTCTAAAGCCAAAATGCCATACAATCATCACCCTCGGGGATTTTGAAAGATTTTCATGATCCACTAACAATGCCAAGAAGGTTCTTTTTTCAAGTTCTTTTTGTCCACACTGTGACTATCATGTACTGCATCAGATGAATTTAAAATGCTGTAATAACTTTTAGGGTGGTTTTCATGCCGTGGCTAAACTGAAGGGAAGGTACAGAAGTTTCCCACATATCCGCTCCCCCCACACATGCAGCATCCCTCCCCACAGGTGGTCCATTTGTCACCACTGATGACCCACAGACACGTCAGCACCCAGAGTCCACGGTCCACAGGAGGGTCACTCTGGGTGGTGTGCCTTCTGTGTGTGTGCACAAATGTATGACTTGGATCCTCCGTGACAGAGTCGCACAGAGTGGTTTCACTGCCCTGTGTGTGCAGCCTGATAGTGTCGAACCCCACCCCCCACCCTGACAGCCTCTGGTCTTTCACCGTCACCACACCACTTTTCCAGAATGTCATAGAGTTCAAATCCTGCAGCATGAAGCCTTTTCAGATTGGGTTTTTCTTTTTTCACTTACTAATACACATTAAAGGTGTTTACATGTCTTTTCACAGCTTGCTAGCTCATTTCTTCTTAGCACTGGTTAGTAATCCATTGACTACATGGACCACAGATCATCCACTGTTGAAGGACATGAAACTTTGGCAACTATGGAAAAAGCTGCTCTATGTATATGGATGCAAGTTTTTGTGTGGACCTAAGTTTTCAGCTTCTTTGGGTAAATACCAAGTAGCACGATTGCTGGATCGTGTAGTAAGACTGTATTTAGTTTTGTAAGAAACTGCCGAACTGTCCTCCGAAGTGGCCGCCCCATCTGGCGCTGCCACCAGCAGCCCGCCGCTCCGCGTCCTCTCCAGCACCTGCTGGAGACGGTGTTGTGGATTTTGGCCGTTCTTACAGGTGTGCGGCTGTGTCTCCCTGAGGACACTCGAGGTGGAGCGTCTTCTCAGATGTCTTTGCCCTCTGTCTCTCTTCCTTGATGAGGTCTTCAGCACGTTTCTTACTTGCATTGTTTTCATATTGTTTAGCTTTTGGAGCTTTTTGTGTATTTTGGATAACGGTCCTTTATCAGATGTGTCTTGTTAGTATTTTCTCCCAGTGTGGCTTGTCTTCTCAGTCTCTTGATACGGCTTTTTGCAGAGCAGAAGTTTTTAATTTTAATGACATCCAGCTTATCGGTTATTTCTTTTGTGAATTGTACCTTTGGTGTTGTGCCTAAAGTCATCACCAGAATCTCTGGCTGTGGGCCAGCGGGGAGCATGGCGGCGTCTCCGAGCAGAGAGAAGGAGAAGGAGCTGCCGGCGGTAATAGCCCGCGAGAGCTTATTGAGAGAACTTAAGAGAAATGCTGGCAATTTCAAGAAATCAAAAGTTGTTGCGTGATAAGGAAAAGCAGGTCCTGGAGTTGTTAATTCACAGAGATGGGGAATTTCAAGAACTGATGAAATTGGCACTTAATCAGGGATGTAAGTTTTAGAAAAGGAAGTGGAGAAGAGAGACAGTGATATTCAGCAACTACAAAAACAGCTAAAGGAAGCGGAAAAAAGACTGGCTGCAGTGTTTACCAAGAAAAACGCACATCAATAGAAAAGGCAAAGAAAGGTGCCATCTCCTCTGAAGAAATAATTAAGGGTGCACAAGTCATGCTGTGCGTGTCCCGCTGACCTGGGTCCCAGGGGACCCACGGAGACCACAGCTGGCGGGTTTAGAGAGAAGTGGATTATTGGGTCAGATGAACAACCCTTCCAGTAATGGCATAAACGGCCATTTACTGGGGACGCATGGCTGTCAAGGGACCTAAGTAAATAAAAGTCATCGCCGCACCCAGGGGCACTGGTTCTCTCCCGAGTTCTCTCCCGGGATACTGTCGTTCTTCCAGTTTCATATGTCAGGAGTTAATTTTTGGGAAGGGTGGAAAGTCTGTATCTAGACCCTCTCTTCCTTCCCTCCCTCCCTCTCTCTCTCCCTTCACACGGGCATCCACTTGTTCCAGACCATTTGCTGAAAAGGCTGCGGGCTCCCCTGTGCTGCCGCTGCTGTTACCGAAGGTTAGAGGACCATGCGTCTGCGTCTGGGCTCTCTGTTCTGGTCCATCAATCTGTTCTTTGAACAAGACCATGCTGTCCATTACTCTGGCTTTATGGAAAGTCTTAAGCCAGATCATGTCGGGCCTCCAACTTTTCTCCTTTAGGGCTGCACTGGCTATTCTGGGACTTTGGCCTCTAGATTGAGTTCGTCAGTATCTGCGAAATAACTTGCTGGGATTTTGATTGTGATCAGGTTGGGGAGAACTGGCATCGTGACAATATTGACTTCCTATCCATGAACATGGGCTCTCTCCATTTATATTATTATGTTTTATTTTCTTTTATTTATATATTACCTTTGTTTTATTTGCACATTATCTTTTTTTTTTTTAAGGTTTTATTTATTCATTAGAGAGAGAGCAAGCGCAGGGGGAGCAGCAGGAAGAGGGAGAGGGAGAAGCAAACTCCCTGCTGAGCAGGGAGCCAGATGTGGGACTCGATCCCGGGACCCTGAGATCATGACGTGAGCTGAAGGCAGACGCTTAATGACTGAGCCACCCAGGCGCCCCGATCATGTGATTTTCTTTTTCAGCCTATTGATGCAATGGATTATATTAATTGATTTTGAAATATTGGACTAGCCTTGCACACCTGGGATAAACCCCACTTGGTGTTCATGCATAATTCTTTTTATACATTGTTGGATCTTATTTGCTACTATTTTGTTGAGGATTTTTGTATCTATGTTCATGAGAGATAATGGTCTATAGTTTTCTTGTAATGTCTTTGTCTGGTTTTGTACTAGGGTCATGCTGGCCTCGTAGAGTGAGTTAGGAAGCTTCCATCTTCTGGAATAGAGTGTGGAGAATTGGTATAATTTCTTCCTGAAAGTTTGGTAGAATTTACCAGTGGACCCATCTGGGGCTGGTGCTTTCTGTTTCGTGAGGTTATTAATTATTGATTCCATTTCTTTGATAGATATAGGTCATCTGTTCTTGTGTGTCTTTCCAGGGATCAGCCCACCTCATCGGGGTCCTCACGTCTGTGGGCCACAACTTGTTCAGAGGACCAGCTTTTGGTTTTGTTGATTTTCTCCGTTGATTTCCTGCTTCAATTTCACTGATTTCTACTCTAATGCTTATTATTCTTTTCTTCTGTTCACCTTGGATTTGTCTTTCTTTTACTAGTTTCCTAGGTAGAAACTTAAGGTACCGATTTTTAGATCTTCTTTTCTCACATATGCATTCAATGCTGTAAATTCCCCTCCAAGCACTGTTTTCACTGCATCCCACAAATTTTGGTTGTGTTTTCCTTTTCATTCAGTTCAAAATGATCTTTAGTTTCTTTTCAGATTTCTTCTTTTACCATTGCATTATTTGGAAATGTGTTGTTTAATCTCCAAACATTTGGGGATTTTCCAGTTGATCACTTGTTGATTTCTGGTTTCACTCCATTATGGTCTGAGAGCAGACATTGTAGGACTTTGTTTTTTAAATTGGTTACGGTGTTTTTCATGGGCCAGAACGTGGCCCATCTGGTGAGTATGCCAGGGGAGCTTGAGAAGAGTGTGTATTGGCTGCTGTTGGACGGAAGCGTCTGCAGATCTCTGTCGTAGCCCCTAACGGATGGTGCTGTGGAGGTCGGCCACGTCCTCGCTGACCTTCCGCCTGCAGATCTGTCCACTCTGATAGTGGGTGTGGAAGTCTCAGCTACAGTGTGGATTCATCTGCTTCTCCTGCAGTCCTGTCCATTTGGCCTCGTGTACGTTGGTGCTCTGTTATCAGGCACGTGCATATTAGGGATCCTTATGTCTTCTCCGAGAATGGACTCTTCCTCATTGGGTCACACGCGGCCTCTGAGTCCTGGATAACTTGCCTCACTTTGCAGTCTGCTCTGTTTCTAGCTGTTTTAACTGGAATGTGCAGCTTACTCCCATAAGCAGCAGTTGGTTTACTATTGATTCCTGGTGTTTGAAGGGTGTGTTGCTGTTTTACAGAGGTCCTCAAAGCAGGCAGTGTTCTGTTCCCTGAGCTCCTGGTGAGAGAGACCGAGGCAGTTGTCCACAAACACCGCTCTCCTGCCCACTGCCAACAGCTTCTGCAGCACCTGCAGGCCCTGCCGCCAGCCCAGTGAGCATGGACGGCGGACGGCGGAGGAGCGCGGACGGCGGAGGAGCGCAGACGGCGGAGCCTGGAGCGAGACCCAGCTCCTGTCCTTCCCCGGGCTGGAGTGTGTGGCCTTCAGACCTCACAGCACGGCACCTTTTTAGTCAACAGCCTGAGACATTCACGAGCAAGACTTTGATAGCAAGAATGTATTCCCTAAGAAATGTGCCCGGGATTCTCCTCAGATGGATCTCGAGCCCAGGAGTTTCGAAATAATGTTCACTGTGTGGCTTCTATACCTTTAGGTCTTATTTATACCATGACAGATCTCCCAAACATCTATAGGTAATTTGAAATTAAAACTAAATGGCGTCTGCTGACACCGGCAGCCAAATCAGCCTGTTTGTTTCAAAGCTACATGCACCTGCTGCGCCCTTGAGTTAGGATATATGTTTGTGCAAATGCCTACCCCACCAAGACTGTTTTGTTAAGCAAAAGTTGTTAAAAAGAAATTCATTCTTTCCTTGGGTTGTGTCTACTGAAACTTAGTATCACAGTGAACAGACTAAAAAGAACTTGAAATTTTTATCAGTTAAATTTTTGCTGTTTAAAATATCCTGGAACTCAAAATGCTATATGGATACATTCTGTTACAATGTTTTTTCCTTATCTCAGTAATGCGAACAATGTTGAAAATAGAATATTTAATCAGATATAATTTTGGTTGCTCTAAGTAGGAGTAAAGTAAAATTGGGTTTTATTCTCTAGCACTTTCTACACCCAAGTGCCTAAAAAACTTCATTTTAAATGGGTATTATTTCCATAACCCAATTATTTATGTTAACATGGGGGGCAGGGAATATTGTGTGTATTTTCCAACAACCAAATATTAACATTTATGCTTAAGTGTTTGAAAATGTAATTAAAAGTATTTATTATAATATCTTGTACGTCTGTCTTAATGTGCTTGGTAGTTAGTTGACATTTTTAGATTCGCTAATTTTTCCCTTAGATCTAAATCTTACAGTGATCCCGGACACTCCCCCACTGCTTCTTGTAGTGCCCTTTCTGGACGCCAGGTGGCAGGCGCCCCAAGCCCCATCAGTAGGGCGTCTGCAGGAGAGCCTGGCTGTCTGGTCAGGGACGGCAGAGGCCTGCACTAAGAGGTGGGATCCGAATCTGCACCACAGACTTGGGTTCCTGCCTCCCGGGCCCCATCTGCTTTCCCACCCCAGAAAGCCTCCCAAGCCGTGACAGGGTGTCAGCCCGCTCTGTGACCAACCGCAGCTGCAGGGGGCTTAGGATGCCCTCAGGGACATCACCCACCAGTTCCCTGATTGCCCCTTATACCCTCGGCTGTTTCCTTCCTCAGCATCACCTGGAAGCCTGTGAGGAATGCAAATTATGGGGCCTCAGCCCGGATCTGCGACGGACCCAGTGGCCAGCCCTCCAGGGGACTGATCCCCTAAATTGTGAGGACCCTGCCCTGAGCACAGTGCATTTTCGTGTCCAGCAAGAGCTCCAGCTCCCATCTTTGATCAGTCACGAAGGGTCACGGCAGACAACTTGGCTGGAGGTCACACGCACAAGGCAGGCATGGTTGGACACTGGCATCGGCTGCCAAAGAAAGATGAGCACGGCATTCCAGTTTCTGGACGTCTCTAAGGGGACGTGTTCAGAGCATCACAGTGAATCAGTGCTGCCTGGCATGGTGTCGACAGGTAGGTGTGTTCAGAGAAAGACACAAAAACTCAGCTGACAAAGGTTAGTCCTCTAAACACCTGAGAACCAACGCGCCCCTCATTTTTTTTTTAAATTCTCAGGGCGCCTGCGTGGCTCAGTTGGTTGGGCATCTGCCTTCGGCTCAGGTCGTGATCCCGGGGTCCTGGGATCGAACCCTGCATCGGGCTCCCTGCTCCGCGGGAAGCCTGCTTCTCCCTCTACCCCTCCCCCCAGCTCGTGATCTCTCTCCCTATCTCAAATAAATAAAAATAAAATCTTAAAAAAATTTAGTTTGAAACTCTTGTCCACGCTCAATTAAATCAGCAACTACTTGTGGAGCCCTAACTTTCCTGTACAGGTGGCGGAGAACAGGAACGTGTAAAATGTAGCCCCTGAGCGTTTACGGTATCACTGAGATGTACTTACATACTGTGACAGTCAGCCTGCTAAGTGTACAATTGGGTGAGTTTTAGCAAATTTTCAGAGCTGTTTTAGAACACTTGTGTCCACCAGAGAGCGCCCCGGGGCCAGGTGCAGCCAATCCCTGCCCGCATTCCCATCCGAGCAACCACAGCCGCTTCTGTCTCTAACCTGATGTCTGTTCTAGATGCTTCATGTACATGGAATCATGTCTGTGATCTTCGGTGTCTGGCTTTTTTCTCGTAGCACAAAGTTTTTGAGGTGATTGATTTATTCATGCCAAGTTCAGGGGTCAGCAATCCCTTTCTGTCAAGGGCCAGATAATAAACATTTTAGGCTTTGAGGTCTCAACTCTGTTTTCCGTTCACCCGTTGATGGGCATTTAGGTTGAGGCCATTGTGAATAAAACTGCTCTGGGCTTTGTGACATGTGTGGGCATGTTTCCGTTGTCTTAGGTGGGTTCCACAGAGCAGAATTGCTAGGGCACATTTGATATGTGTCTGTAGCTCCTGATGGATTGATTGATTGCTGTTTTTAACTGCTTTATTGAAGGATGCTTGCCCTGCAGTTCGCTGCACCCATTTAAAGCATGCAGTCTGACAAGTTCTGACACACGCGCGCCCACGAACCTCTCCACCCCAAAGGTTCTTCCTGCCCTCTCCCACACCCCCACCCCACCCCCTCCAGGCAACTCTGGTCTGGTTTAGTCACCAGAGTATGCCCTGCACATTTTGGACTTTCACAGCACGTGTTTTCGGCTTGGCTTTTTGGTCTTCTTTCATGAGGCACAATTATTTTGAGATGTATCCACATTGTAGCGCCCATGGGTGGTAGCACGTTCCTTTTTGTTGCTGAGCGGTATTCCACTGGATGGCCACACCGCAACCCTGACGTGTGTTGGCTCCTAGCTCCCAGCTGTCACAGAGAAGCTTCTCACAACACGGTAGTACAAGTCTCTGTATGGACATAGACTTTCATTTCTCCCAGGGGAACATCAAGGAGGGGAATGGCAATCACACTAGATTCTATTTAAGTTTTTAAGAAATTGTTTTCTAGTTCCCATTTTATATACCCACCAGCACCACATGACAGTCCTGGTTCCTCTCATTTTTGCCAACATTTGACATATTGGCCTTTTTAGTTTTAGCCATTGTAATAGGAATGTGGTGGTATTTCAATATGGTTTTAGTATGCATTTCCTCTATGTTTAATGATGTTGATATTTTTTCATGTGCTTATTTGCCATCTGTAGCTCTTCATTGGTGAAATATCTTAAAATCTCTTGCCGATTTTTTAAAGATTTATTTATTTTGAGAGACAGAGCTCATGTGCACTCGCAAGCAGGGGGAAGGGCAGAGGCAGAGGGGAGAGAGAATCCCAAGCAGATTCCTTGTTGAGTGCAGAGCCAGACATGGGGCTGGATCTCACGACCCCGAGATCATGACCTGTGTCAAAACCAAGACTCAGTCGCTCAGCCGAGCCACCCACGTGCCCCACCCTTGTCCATTTTTTTAAAAATCAGGTTTTCTATTGAATATGAGTTGTTCCCATATTCTGGATACGAGTGCTTTACCATCTATGATGTGCAAATATTGTCTCTCATCATGGAGCTTGTTTTTCACTTTTTTTAAGATTTCATTTTTAAGTAATCTGTACACCCAACATGGGGCTCAAGATCACAACCCGGAGATCAAGGGTTGCACGCTCCCCCAACTGAGCCAGCTGGGCACTCCTGTTTTCACTCTTTAACAAGGTCTCTTGAAGAACAAAAGATTTTAGTTTAAAAGGAACTTATCAGTGTCTTCTTTTATTATGCTTTTGGTGTTATATCTAAGAAATATTTGCTTTAAACCGGTTCCACTTCCTAAATTTTAAGCTCAAAAAGTTATTTTCATAAAGATGATTCGTCTACTTGCTGTACCATAGTTCAAAGGCAAGGTTTACTTCCTTTGAAAATCTCCTTTCTGTGATCTAACTGAAAATATGAGATCTCTCTGGGGTAAGTTCGTTGCAAATAAAACCCCTGCCCTTTAATAACCAGAGACAGCCCCCTATGTGCCAGTATGGGATGATCTTTAAAATACATTAATAATCATAAACAAGGAATACAACGCTAGGGGCGTCTGGGTGGCTCAGGTCATGATCCCAAGGTCCTGGGATCGAGTTCCACATCGGGCTCCCTGCTCCGCGGGAAGCCTGCTTCTCCCTCTCCCACTCCCCCTGCTTGTGTTCCCTCTCTCGCTGTCTGTCAAATAAATAAATAAAATCTTTTTTAAAAAGGAGCACAACGCTGTATAGGATGAACCAGATGTAAAAGGAGGAAAGAGGTAGCAGCCGCTGACTTGCTCTCACGTGGATACACTATTTCTGGAAGGGTACAGAAGAAACTACGGGGGTGGCATCTGGGGAGGGGACCTGCATGACAGGGACTGGAGTGGGACTTAAGTCTACGCCTTTTGGTACCTTTGAATTTACTTTCTTGTGCATGTATTTCCTATTCAAAAACAGAACTCCGCTGAGCCCCATGGACACTGGTGGTGTTTTTAGCTCCTAGGTCACACCTGTTTCCTCTGTAGAGAACAGGGCCCTGTTCCAGGCAAGGATATTCAGGATGTTTATCAAGAAGCTGTTTTGTTGAGAAATGAAAATGTGAACACAAGTGTTCGTAGCAGCTGTGTCCCAGCCCCAAACGTCCATCAACAGTTATGATAAGTAAGCTGTCCACCCGACAGAACAGCGCGGCCCAATGGGAGGAGCAGAGCCTGACGAGCACCGCGGGCGTGGCTCTCCCAGCCATCCGCTGCGCTGAGGCGGCCAGGGTTTCAGTGGGATGCAGGGTTCTAGAACAGGCAAAGCAGATCCACAGGGGCCGTTCCACTCTCTCCTCTACTT